GCCCTCCCAGCCATGAGAAGCCTGGCTCTGAGTTTGCTTCAAGAACTGCTGGTGTTAATGCACAGCTTACACCCTGGGCTCCCTCAGCTCTTTCTCTTAGGAAGAAGGTTACCTTGGCCCCTCAGGGGTGGATGTGGTCCCTTTGTCCCACAGGGCACTCTTGTCCTGGGGGCGGGCAGTGAGCCACACATGTCCCCTTGAGAGTTAAAATATATGGTCATTCATATATCTTCTTTGGAAAAAATGTCTGTTTAGGTTTTTGTTCCTTTTATTTTGCTATTGAGCTGTATGCATCCTTACATATTTTGGATGTTACTCCATATCAGGTACATGGTTTGCATATATCTTATCCCATTCTGTAGGCTGTTGTTTTATTTTGTTGTTTGTTTCCTTTGCCATGCAGAAGATTTTCAGTTTGATAAGGTCCCACTTGTTTATTTTTGCTTTTGTGGCCTTTGCTTTTGGTGTCATATCCAAAAAAAAACATTGCTGAGGCTAACATCAAAGAACTTTCCCCCTGTGTTTTCTTCTAGAAGTTTCACAGTTTCAGGTCTTCAAATTTAAGTCTTTAATCAATTTCAAGTTAATTTTTATATGTGGTATAAGATAAGGGTTCAATTTCTTTCTTTTGCACATGGATGTCCAGTTTTTCCCAACACTATTTATTGAAGACACTATCCTTTCCCCCCTGTGTATTCTTGGGACCACTGTGAAATATGAGTTGTCCATAATATGCATCAGTTTATTTCTGGGCTCTTGAACCTGTTTTATTCTATTGGCTTATGTGTCTGTTTTTATGCCAGTCTTACTATTTTGATTGCTATAGATTTGTGTGCAGTTTGAAATAAAAAAGTGTGAGTATGATGTTGCCAGCTTTTTTCCTCTTACTCAAGATTACTTTGACTATTCAGCCTTTTGTGTACATTTTAGGATTGTGTTCTCTATTTCTAGAAAGAAATTGGAATTTTGGAGATTGCATTGAATTTGTGGATTGCTTTGAGTTATATGGACATTTTAACTATTATTTATTCTAATCAATCAACATGAAATATCTTCTCTTTCACATCTTCTATCTTCTATTTTGTGTCTTCTTTGATTTCTTTCATTAATGTCTTAGTTTCAGTGTTTTACTTCCTTGGTTAAATTTAATCCTAAGTGTTTTATTCTTTTTGATGCTATCAGATAGTTCATTGTTAGTGTACAGAAACATAACTGGTTTTCATATGTTGATTTTTTTATCCTGCAGATTTATTGAATTTGTTCATTACTTTTAACAGATTTTTGGTGGAGTCTTCAGTTTTTTCTATATAGAGGATCATGTCATCTGTAAACAGACTATTTAACAACTTCCTTTTCAATTTGTATGCCTTTTATTTCTTTTTCTTCTTTAATATTTCTGGCTAGGACTTCTATTAGCATGTTGAACAGAAGCAGTGAGAGTGGGTGTCCTTCCATTTTTCCTGATCTTAGAGGAAAAGCTTCCAGCTTTTCACTATTGCACATGATGTTAGCTGTGAGCTTGTTATGTATGGCCTTTAGTATGTTATAGTACATTTATTCTATACCTATTTATTAAGACTTTGTTTTTTTTTTTTTTTTTTAAGACTTTGTTTTAATCTCAGAAGGAGGTTCAATTTTGCCAGATGTTTATCCTTCATTCTGTTAATATGGTGTATCATGTTTATTGATTTAAATATGTTGAACTGCCCTTGTATCCAGAGATAAATCCCACTTCATCATGGTATATGATTCTTTTAATGGACTGTTAAATTCAGTTTTCTAACATTTTGTTGAAGATTTTTGTATCTAAAATAAGTTTGAAAGTGTTCCCTCCTCTTTATTTTTTTTTTTGGAAATGTGCAAGAAGGGTTGGCATTATTTGTTCTTTAAAAGTTTGATAGAATTCACCAGTGAAGCTATCTGGTCCTGGGATTCTTTTTTGTTGAAACATTTTTGATTACTGCTTCAATCTGTTTATTATTGGTTCACTCAAATTTTTCTCTTCTTGATTCAGTCTTAGTGGTTTATATGTTTCTAGTTTACCCATTTCTTCCAGGTTATCAATTTTTTTTTTTTTTTTTT